AAGCTACAAGGTAATGTATGTATGTGTTGGTAAAATTAAAAACATAAAAAAACTATCAACCGGAGGAACACGTGGAGTCGTGTGGCGTAGCGGCAGCGTTCTCGACTCGGAACCAGAGGCCCCGGGTTCGAGTTCTGACATGCCACCGATCTTGTGCCCTTGGGAAAGGCATTTTACATGACTTTCCTCGCTTCATTCAGGTGTAGATTAGTATTGCACTGTTCCTGTGTTGGTGGCGGCATTAATAAAAGTTGAAAAAACTTGAGTGTGCCGTCACCACGTCTTGTGATTGCATGTTTAAAAAAAAACAAATCCATCAAATATTTTACGGTTTTTTTTTATTAAAACATATATAAAGAAATACAGACACGATGACGGCGTACTCAAGTTGGCTAACTTATATTAACGCCGCCATCAAACAATAAACTTAATACAAAAATAAAGCAATACATACACTAACAAACAAATATAATACACAAAACAAGAATAAGACAGATGGGGTTTGAATAAAGAATGAAGCTAAGAAAACTAAAAGCGCAGGTCCTTCCCCCCTCCCACCCTTACTAATGGTATCCATGGTTGTGATTGGTAGGACACACCAAAGAAATAATGATAATAATAAATTAGGTTGAAGCAAAGCGTTTACTTGAAATAGTAAAATTTTGAGTTAGAACCATTATTTGACAATTAATTTTGAACGTGAATGAAGGGGATCCGTAAAGTAGAAGTTGTTCGAGAGCATTGTCGGAGAGTGAGTTTTTGTCAAGGAGGTGTCCTACCAATGATTCAAGTTGGCCGAAGAGACGCTGTCGTTGATAACTGTATAAAGGGCAGTGAAGTAAGAAATGAGATATGGTTTCGCATTGGCACCCGCAGCTGCAAGCCGGGCTGTGAACTAAGGTACGACTGAAAAGACTGGCATTCAAGCTGCAGGTGCCAATGCGAAAGCGTGCTAAAAGGGCAGAGGCATATCGGGGACCATAAATAAAATGTTTGACTTTGGTGGGGCATACAGATTTAAGTAAATGCATTCGAAACATAGAATAACTAAGACTTCTTGTTGCCACGTCTAACTTGTTCCAATAACTTAAAGCGTAAGGAACAAAAGACTTAGCAAAGCGGTTTGATGAAGTGGTCAATGGTCTTAGATTCAATTTGTTTCGAAGGTTGTACGAACATGTCGATACAATATTGGAGGGGATTAGGTCATACAAATAACTACGAGAAGTACCGTGGATAATCTTGTAGAACAGCAACAGATGATGGATGTGTCTCCTGTCTGATAGTAATTCCCAACCAAGTTCTTTCCGAGTTAAGAAGTAAGAAGACCCTTTGACAGCACCTGATATAGTGAGTGCACATTGGTATTGAATTCTTTCTAGAAGTTGAGTTTCCGCCACTGTACAGTTGTGCCGAACGACATCTCCATATTCTAAACAAGGTCGAAAAAATGTTTTGTACAACGTTTCCAAAACTTGTCGAGAAAGTTTGAATTTTAAACCCTTAAAAGTGACTAGACTTTTGGAAATTTTGGACACCATGTTGTTGATGTGAGGTTTCCAGGACATATTAAAGCTTAATGTAAGTCCTAGATGCTTATGGGAGGGGACAGACTTAATAATACAGTTGTTTAAAAGAAGAGGTTGGAGTGTTGAGTTATCTTTTCTGGTTGAGAAACACATTTCTTCTGTTTTGGCTGGGTTAAGTTCCATTAACCACTGAACAGCCCATGAATGAATTTTTTCCAAATCAGCATTTAAACAGGCAGCTGAATAAAACGAATTATCAACAACATGAAGAAGAGAGCTGTCATCAGCAAAGAGAAATGGCTGGGAGATAAGATTATCCACGATGTCATTGATATACACCAAAAAGAATAAGGGGCCCAGAACTGACCCTTGTGGAACACCTGCAGTAACATTACACCAAGGAGAAGATATACCATCAATTGTTACTCTTTGAGATCTGTCACGAAGATAAGAATAGATCCAGTTTAAGAGAGGTCCTTCAATACCAAGTCTTTGTAGCTTGAATAATAAGCCGTTGTGCCACACCCTATCGAAGGCCCGAGAAAAATCGAGAAACACGGCACGAACTTCTTTTCCGGTGTCTAGGGCTTTCAAGATAATGTGACAAAAGTACGCTAGTTGACAAACTGTAGAATCGCCTCTAATGAAACCGGATTGAAGCCGATACAAAAGATTGTGTTGTATTAGGAAATTATACAGGTGTTTATAAACTATTTTTTCTAGGACCTTCGACAGGGTGGGAAGTAAGGACACAGGGCGGTAATTTCTTTTATCAGTAGGATCGCCCTTTTTAAAAATGGGTATTACATTTGCATATTTCCATATCGTGGGAAAGTATCCATGTGACAAAGAAAGGTTAAAACAAAACTAATTTTATCTGCTATCAATGGCGTAATTAATTTGAGAAAACGATTATCAACATTATCGTATCCATGTGACTTGTAAGTATCAAGTTCTTTCACATAGAGTTGAACTTCTTCAGGAGTGGTGGTAACGTGGAGTAAACGACCAGTGGTAAAATATTGAAATTCCGGCAGCGAAGCATTTGTTTCGTCTATGGAAGATTGAAAGACAAAGTATTCATTAAAAAGTAAAGCTTTCGCTGAGGAATCAACAACAAACGTACTACCTTTCTTTAAAGGAGGAATAGTGGTAGTTGCTTTTGGCTGTAAAAGTGTTTCACCACGTGCCACCACTTTTTACCTGATAAAGAAGGATCACTTAGAGATTCTGACAGACGACTAAAATATTCAGACTTACGGGATGAGATAGCATTCGAAAGCTTGTTGCGGATTTTACGATAAGCGGCCCAATTTTCCTGAGAATTAGATAACTTGGCCAATTTGTGAAATTTGTCGCGGGACCGCATTAGCTTACGGATATCATTTGTCATCCAGGGTTTGTCTTTTGGTCTGACCACTATGTTTTTACTTGGGACACAAAGGTTTTTAGCCTTAATGATGAGTTGACTTAATTTGTTCGCAGCGTCATCCACAGTGGGAAGTAAGAAAATGCTGTTCCATTCCGAATCATTACAAAATTCAAACAATTTGTCATAATTAATACTAAAAAATCCCACACAGTACGTACAAAAGGTTTAGGTATGTGACGAGTAAAGGACAAGGAACAAATAGTGGGGCAGTGATGGCATCGGGAGAGTGGTGAACAGACAGACACAGAATCAACATAGTTAAAGGCGTCGGTAAATATGAGGTCGATAAGGGAGGGATTTCGTGAAAGGTCGCAGGTGGGCTCGTTAACAATTTGGATAAGATTTAAAAGCTGAGTAATTTGGTATAGTTCAGAGCCGATGGGGGAGGTAGTGTCCCGATGCCACCACCGCTCGTGTTTTGCATTGAAATCTCCAACAATAATGATAGCATCTGGGCGTGACATACCCGCCATCTGGACGGAATCGGAGAAGGAATTCAAAAAATCGTTAACAGAACGTGCGTCCTGGCCAGGTGGCCGTAGTACACGGAAAGTAGAATCCTAAAAGACTGGATTCTGAGTTCAACCCAGATGGCTTCAAAAGATTGGGGCTCTAGATCGGTACGGCGCTTAAAGGCAATAGAAGATGAGAGGTAAACTAGAACTCCTCCGCCGTGTCTATTCCGATCACGTCGAATCGGAGGCTGAAAATTCTGAATAAAAAGATCGTCAGATGAAACAACATCGCTCAGCCACGTCTCAGTAATTGCTATGACATCCAGTTGAAATTGTTTGGACATTAAAGAGAGCTCGTCTATCTTCGTCCCTACCGTTATGCTGTTAACATTAGCGTGGACAATATTTAGGTATTTAGATGTGTTTGAACGAACGGGACCAGGATTCGGGTTAATATCATTTGATAAAACGATCAACAACAACAGCAAACACATGTGAAACATAAACAAACATTGACAAAAATCAATTTTACGGTTTATTTTTTTAATTAATAATATAGAAATCGGGACATAGATTTAGATGACATATATTGTATTCGTAAAAATGCATGTGCGAGCAACTACATAATATAAAGTTGGTGATATTGAACTTGTCACTCAAAATACAGTTTATGTCGTACCTTCGTGATCGTTGTTATTACGTTATTATTAAGATGAAGATGCTCTTCTTTTTATATTTTTAATTACGAATATTATTTATCTTTGATTTCTGTATTCTTACCAACACCGCACAACACACAACGTGCGGGATAACTTGTTGCTAGCTACACACGAATTGGAGAGGCCGTAAGAAGTTATTACCCAGAGAGGTCAAAGGTCAGCAGTTTTCTCGGAATAAGGCAATGTTCATTTCATTATATGGATGATATCCTCTGAAAACCCCAAAACTGGTTTAAAAAGTCTAGCCAGAAATACAGTTACCTTCATTTTGAAGTCTCCGTTGTCATGAAGGTTGAACAAATAACTAAACATGCTAGGTATGGTATAGCGATTAATTGACTCTTCGTGTTCATTTCCTTGCATTTCTTCGTTTCCATTGGAATCAACATTGTCATGATAGAACATCAGTATCGTTTTCCACTATTTTTTTTAATAATTGACGGCATATATTTGCAGATGCCTTGTGCCACACTTTACAGTATTGTCAAAAAATTCATGTGCACTTGGATGGCATCCATATAATCAAATCAACATGACCTTACCTGCTCCACGCGAAGTTTAATCTCTAGGTCGGCCAAGAAGTGTAACTCATTTTTAACCCTCCTAAACTGTGCCAGCAATGAGAACTAATGTTTCCGCTAACCGCTAATGAAAGGCTTTTGCTAGTAAATACTAACAGATGCCCAAATTTGTTCGGCCTAAAGAGTAATTAGATGTCAGTCTTTTCAACTTTTTGCATTCTTTTTTTTTTGTAATCCTTTAATACATGTAGTTTACATGAGGTGCTAAGCTATTCAGCCAATGGTATTAGATATACTAACTATATAATTATTATTGTAAGCAAAATTTTTAATTACTCTAATAAAGTAATGTCCAATCCCCTTATATTATGTTTATCAAAACCTTATGGCCGTAAGAGTTGCTTTTTTAAAACGCATATTTTATAGGCACTTCTTTTTGTTTAGTTAACGAACTTATGCCAGATCGTAATCTTATCTGGTAATCTCTGCAAGGCACCCTCGTTTTTTATCAGTTTACAAGGGACAGATATATGATAGCAACATATTTATATGGTTTTCAACTACGTCCTCAGGTGGATGCATTATGGGCTCATGCCACATAGACTCTGACATATCCCAGACATCTATAATTGAAATGTTAACACCTTGAAGGATTTTTTGGCCTTCTAACATCAACTCGTGTGCATACCAATCGCTGTTTTCCACAAAGTGAAAAAATCTAACATGGTCTCGAACGTTACTTGTTCGCCATATAACCTTTGTATCAGGATAACGACGGTGCATACGTTCTATCGCACGACGAACTCCGTAAACTCGCGAACGGAATGTTTCAATCGGCTCAGCTGTATAGTGACCCCACAAACCTAGAATTATAACGACATTTGGCCCACCAATAATACTATCAATTCTTTCAGCCACATAGTACAGATCATTAACACTTATAGGTTTCGCTTGATTTAATGGAAAATGGTGAAATTGGTAGTGCAAGGTTGTATTTGATTCATTATTACGAGCGAAGACGGGCTTGAAAAGTTTACCATGCTGAGTTAACTTAAGAAATAGCATCAAAAATCGCCACCACTGCCGAACGGTAGAATCCCCGAGAAAGAACAGAGTCTTGTTCTGCAGGCATTTTAAAACAGACGAGATGGAAGGGAAACTTCGTACTCTGCATCGCAGTGAATTCCAGGTTCCGTTAAACCAGTACCCTTCAGACACGGTTTCTGGAAGGCGAGGGGCACAGACCGGTAGTGTTCCTCCACCTAATCCTAACAAATATGGATAACGATGATAATGTAAGTTAGACAAAAAGGGAATTATCTAAACGTCATTGTTCAAGAAATGTATGTAGGCTTTACGCATTGTAATCAATGCGCCACAATACTAGAATTTAAATTACTTATCTGTACTGGTCTCACAAAGCACATTTGTTTCAGCATACAGCAACAATGAAAAATTGAGCCAAGTCATTAGACGTCAGCACGTTCCTTAATGTCAGGTTTCCCATCGTATTCAAATAATAAGAAATGCGTCTCGAAAAGACGCCGCGCCGTGACTTATTGAAATTCGCCAGATTCTTTTTCCATTTTTGACTGTAAGGTCAACGGTAAGAACTTAATTTTTTACCGTACGACGCGACAAAATACCGCCAATTGACGGCATAACGGGCGCTGGCTAAAGCCCTGTAAAAATTTCTTTAGTGGAAACAAAACGTAAAGAAAATGTGAGATTGATAATATATTGCGGTCTGTTGAATTTTTTGCACATTGCAACAACGCCGATATCAAAATGACAACAACGTGACCTGAAACACATTTGAGCTAGCCACCATGTTGAATCGGCAATTGTGAATCTTTAAAAATACACTTCTTTTAAATATTTGTGAACACACTAAAGGCAGTCATATAAATATTACAAAAGCATGAAAATATAATATTTATATAGAAACTTTATAAACACCTTACAAAATGATATTGTTCGCTATGTTGACATTTTACCAATGACTATATTATTGCATGGCTTTAGACACGATATAGATGTTAGAAAACATGTGTAATTAACCATTAAAAATGTCAATTGTTATTACGGACCCAGTATGTATAAACTGATATGATGCTATAGTGATAAATTTCAGGAATTGCATACTTTTACCATGTGTAAGAAGGAAATATGTAATTTATGAATGATGAAATGTAAGGGTTAGATTTTGACAACGGATAAGCTTTTTGTATGACTGTATGTCTCGTGTCCTGATATAGCTTTAATGGCGGTATGATAGCTTCGGAAGGGGGAATTAGTAGGCTACGTGGATGATGATGAGGCTACGTGGCAGGGGGTAATATTGGCGATACAGAGAACATGGGGTGAAGAGGAAGGAACTGGTCGTTATTAAATTACATCATGCAAATCCTGCGGTTGGTACAACTTGGTTTGCCATATACTGTTGAAAGTCTTAAATCTTGGCTTTTTTTAATTTTCATATTACAAATTACAAAATCGACAACTGCAGAGACAACCACATGTCAATCCCAATCCCCAAAAACGTAAAACTCGACACACGTTCGTGTTAATAATATGTAGGAATTTCAGGATTTTAGTCGTGTTCTTTAATATTTTTATTTAAACATATTATAAACTATAGTTCGGGAATCTCATACCTAAATGACATGTTTAGTGCTTTCGTAAATCTTATGAATAGTGAGGACCACCTGTAAATGGCTTACATTTTTGCTAATCAGCAAAGTTTTATTTTATACAAACAATTTACATAGCCTATACCTAGTAACATGCAACACACCGGTGAAATCCTCATTATTTGGCATAGACAACGTAAGATATTGTTGGTTATATGCAAGCACGGCGTTTGCCATGCCTTTGCCAAATCATATTAAACGTCCAAACTAATTATATATTTTTCGTGCGAATATGCAATTTACTAGAGCCGATTTGCATACATTATATCAGTCGATCATATTCTCCACCCAATGACAGGGCAATATAAATAAATAAGGCTAACATACCCTCTAAATTACCCGAAAAAGGTCCTGATTTGAATAAATAATGTTTAGTGGTGTTCACCATCAATGAACTTCTAATAATGGCAAGTTAATTGCCAGTTAATACAAGTTAATATAATATACAAGTTAATATAATAATAATTCCCAGCAGTTATCAGCAAATATGTTCCAATTTTCTATTAATTATGCAAATTAAGTCTTTATTAACTTGTCAATATTTGCAAATGTTCTTGTCGTTCTCAATTTTAGTGTTTTATAGTCATATTATGGAATACAGCAGATTTATATAATTTCCCCATTAATTGTTAAAGTAGATCCTAATTTGCATAATTGTACTTGAATTATTTCAGGAATATTTAAGCTACCTATATGCCAAAAATTGGTCAAACGGTTGTTTAGTTATCCTCTCGCGAGGGTTTTTCAAACAAACCATCCTGCACTTCTTAAGGAAGCTGCTAGGGAGCCAAAACTCACGACGTTGTTCCAAAGATAAGAGCTACTTACCATTCAAAATGTATTAAAGTAGCATGTCCAGATTGCGAGATATCAAAACCGGTAGTTGCACTGCAGTACCAAGGGAAGCAACGGGGGGTCCTAAAATCTAATTATTTTTAGTTTTTTTTCTCACCCTACCAACAAACTTAGTATGAAACCAATCCATTCGGCCGTTCTTGAGTTATCTTGTTAACCTCCATTTCATGTCATTGAAGTAATTAACAGGGCCTAGTCTCCATTTCCATATCTGGAAATATTTGTCTATAATTATCACCGGATAAATATTTTTCGATAACCTTTTTGTCGACTCTCGACCGTATTTAAAATGAAAATACAATACCTGAGTTACACCACATTATACCTTTTGCGTACTAAAACTGCTAAAAATTATGTTTTCTGTTTGTTGAAATGCAGTCCTTGTTTAGAGAGCTTTACTTATGTCGGCTGTTTTCAGACAAAATAGTATGGGCTGGCCAACAACCTTCCATCGCAACAAAGAAGCCTTCTTCGGAATTTTCTTATATATGTAATATGACATACTTACGCCTTCCTTTCACTTGGATCCTGAAGTCGTTTGACACTTCACCCATATCAAGCTCCCTGCAATTTACAATAACAGATTATTGATTATTTGTACTAACACATTGGGTCTGTCACAATGACAAGTCTGTCATTAAAAACTACAATGATGCTATTCGCTCTAATAACACACTTCGTAAAGACAGTGAACACACTTGGTAATTTTTTTCTCCACACAAACGCATCTTATATATCGCATACAGTAAGTCTTTCCTTGCGTTTTGTTGTGATTTAACTCGCCCTGCTAAAGACGTTTAAATTGTCAAATGGCTGCATCAGACAGATAATCTATAATGCCAAGAATTCGGGGATTTCTTTCGTATAAAATATTTATAGGATTTTTTGTTTGGGATTTTTATCATCTGAAATGGAAATTCGACTTTTACGTGAACCTAACCTATTTTGGGTATGTTTTTCTAATAACAAATTACAAATGTATGTAAAAGTCCAATCTTTTGACAATGTTTTGTTTTTGACATTTTATTAATATTATGCAAGTGGCCCTCAAATATTAAATGCATAGGGACGTTCACCTTTATCTACCTTACGCATGATGCAATGTAAAATGCCCTGTATTTACCAATGAGGAATCACAGCATTTTTGCACCGATTATGCAAATTAGGTATTTATTTGTATAATTTGTATTTGTAAAGTTTTGTAAACATTTGCCATTATTTACATTAATTAAATTTATAAAAGTCCTTTCTATAAAACAAATTAATTACATTTCCTCATTTAGTATGCAAATTAGTCCATTTACGTAATTTACATTAGATGTCTACATCTTTGTCCAAGCTAACTGCATGAAAAAAATCTTGAAAATTCTTTGTTCTTGTCTTGATGTATCGACTTCACCAAAAACCTCCCTGTAGTTCAAAAACTAGCTGCTAAGGAGACCAAGCCACACCACTTGTTCCTGACATCCTGACATGATACAAAAGATACAAAAAAATGAAAGTTCTGCCGCAGTATCTCGACCTTTTTACGACTTACCCACATACAAAATACAATTATCCTCTTTAATTATAATGCTAATTACACATTTGCGGAGGCACACACACGCGTACTCACAGACACACCAAAAACAATATTTCCATTTTCATGTAGGTAGCAATACCTACATTTTATGTAGGCAAAGGTAGTTCTTTGTTCCAGAGAGTACGGAAATCTTGAAATTGAAAATTTTGATAAGTTATAAAGAATGTGTAAAACTTCCTTTACTTTTAAACTGACAAAAGAACGTCTTACTATTTACATAAGTGTAATTTAAGTGTAATTAAAATTCATGTTTCAACAATAGATATCATGTTTTTGAAACAGTAAACATTTTGAAAAAAATAGAATGTTACCTTCTAAAAAGCTTCTTTTCATCAGAAGAAAGCACATAATCCTGTTGTGCCTTAGTTCTCTGTTGATCTCGTATGCACATTGAAAGGGAATCACAGGGACTGGATGTTGGACGCTGACAGTGAAATGTCACATTAATGAGTGGTTTTGAAAAGTCACAAACATCACGGAGATTTAGGCTCTTATTGATATTAAAAGTACAAGGCACCCACTCAGAAACATTGCTACCCTTCTGTAGGAAACTACACTTCATAAGCCGCCGAAGAAACTTTTCGCGAATTTTCTTTAGGACCTGCACAGCCTCGCTGGAGTGTATAAGTTTGACTGACAATGAGAGATGTCCTGGCCAACTTAGTAAAAAACGTGAGATGTAGGTTCCATTCCCGTAATCAGTCACTATTCCGGATGTGCTAGCTTGAACTGGATATTTGCTGTACAGTTTTGTACGAAGAAAATCTCCACCGTAGGATTTTTGTCGCCCTTCCGAGTCTATAGCCACAATCTTGATGAACAATAGATCTCCAACTCGATACATAGGTTGAGGGTTGACAATGGTGATGATCAAGCTTTGAATAAAAGTGATCCGATTAAAGTTGATAGAACCGTTTTGATGAAGCCATCGCTTAGAAAACATATCCGTTGTTCCATCCACAAGTATGGTAGTATTGTGTTTGTAACTTCCTTGGTTTGGTATAACTGTTGAATGCTGAAAAAGATTGGTAAGTTTTTAAAATGAAATTTCGGTTGTTCTCCCATTATTGTTAGTCAATCTTTGACTTATTGCATGTGCAATGCAAAAAAGGAAACGCAAAGTAATATACTCGAGGACGTACAACTAGAGTTGCATGGTGCTGAATTGCCATTATGGGGTTGACTTGTTTAGAAACATAATTGATGAAATAATATTTAAAATATGTTTTATGACCATTATGAGCAAAATCGGCGCCATATGAGTAAGACGTAATGATTTTCTAAATTTTTGAAAAGGATAAATTGGTGACAAGTACATAAAATTCGTTTTATGACATGTAGAAAATACAACATACTACGTAATTTTATATTCAAAGAGGCAGTCTTAAGGGCATTGCTTAGATTCTATGGATACAATTTTTACATTATTTATCAGTCCAACTGACTTAATTTTTTTTCTATTTAAGGCCTATCATACTACGATAAATAAGATATAAATATAATTTTAAATGACAGTGGCATACATAAAGTTTTTAAATAGCTTTAGCAAAACGATCAAAACATAAACATTAAGGGCCCCAGTAAGTAAGTAATGTTGATATTCGGAGACACGTTGACAGTGTTCTAATAATTTTTGGAACCGTTTTTGTTATTTTGTTAATGTCTCACGTTCTTGTAATGCTTCTTCTTAATATATTAAAGTTCTCGCAGTTTTTCTCCTTAACTAAGCAATGGCGTGAACTCCTTTGTCACTCGAGAAATAACGATGCCAACACGTTCTTCTTAATATATCTACGTTGTCGAGATGTTTTCCTTTATATATCCGCATTCTTCCAATGTTTCTCCTCAATTAATATATCTACAACCTTGATGGAAAATTGTAAACTGTATCAAAAGAATCCAACTTTTATAACAAAAACAAACAAACACCACCTGTGCAATGTACAGCATGATTGCCAAGAAGATAGCCCCGATGATGGAAACCCACGCCGCCCTGCCTCTGTTCCCTTCCATTCTCAGTTTTGGCTATATTTCCTCTCTGTAAAATACTGGTAAAGCACCTTATTAAGACACATACATACACAGATTATTATGGAATGGTGTAGAATTTTTGCTCCTTAAATATTATTAGGCGATGTGTAATTACTATTCGTTTCTGTAAACATTTTTCACTTGAAAGGTTTAAGACACTTTGTCAATTTGTGGTGTTTGTTTGTTTGAATTAGTAGACCAATATCTGGTAAAGTATTTATTTTAGTGAGCTGGTTTGATATTTTGGCTTACATTCTGTTGCTAATGTTTATAGGTAAATATTATGTTTAGCTGAAAATTGTATACATTATCTTTCCAATCAGAGTCTTGCCAAAATAAATTGACCTCCTTAGAATATTGAATTAGCTGCTTTTACCAAGTGTAATTAAATCAAAGTATTTTTCTTTATCATTATAATCTAGATTATTTCATTTAGACTTCCTCTAATGTAATGAAGCAAGTTTAAACTGTAATATCAAAGACAAGAAATTGGACCAACCCAAATTGTCGACTGTACAACTCCAGTCTCTGTCAAGGAATGAACAATCCACCGCTTCCGTGACGTCACGCAGATAACACACGTGACTCCGTAGAAGTGCATCATAGGTTGCAGAAAGTCTGTTTGTGGTTTGTTATTTAGCTCTCCCCTACCTGGTGTTAAGCAAACACAATGGCTTTGAAGGATTTTGATATTATCAGGATTTCAGGAGAGCAATATTATCATTATCATATTATCATTATCAAGTAATTATCATATATAATCCTTAAAGTACAATTGGGCATTGCTTTTATTGGGCATAGGTATATTACAAAATTAACAGATTTTGATATCAACTATTAACCATTGACCATTAAGTCATATTGAAAATGCAATCTTATTTTTTCTAAAGTACGTATAATTTAAAGATTACAGTATACAACTTCAAACCTCACTCAACCCTCAGACAAAGACTGGTGCACCCTAAGGACCGACCTCACAAAGGTACCAAGGCGAATGTTATTTACAGACTAAAATGTGAGGAGACCAATTGTAACAACACCTACATCGGAGAGGACAGACAACACTTAAGCTCCTGTTCTGTAACAGGACTAATTTGCATCATCTTGTCTTGACTTGTTTGACTTTTGTTCCTTTTTCGACTTACAAAAATTTGTCTTCACTTTATTTGCATATCATTCAATAGGTTGTGCTTATAAACCTGCATTTCCCCTCTGGTCTCTCAGTCACTGACGAAAGCTAGTGGATACTAGCTGAAACGTCTGACGTTTTCAAAATCATATCCAGTTGCTTGAGTAACTACTTTTTGGCGTATCGTATTACGTGGATGTCTAACCTTCATCGACGCACCGTGAACTTTATTTTACTGAGTTAAGTATTATGTTTTTGAGGCGTCATGGTGATGGCATATTTTTTATTAAATTCCATTAATTTGTAATAAAGAATCTTTCAAGTTTATAAATTTTCATGTTTATTATGCTTTCTAAAATCGATTACATAATTTGTGATTAGATGTAATTTTTATTTATCATATTACTCATAACTAATGCTAATTTGATGACATCTATAATAAATAGTCGAAATAGCGGCCCGAGCGCAGTAACTCAGAGGTGTTACCAGTTTCTTTTAAAACTTACGTTGTATACTGTAATCTTTAAATTATACGTACTTTAGAAAAATAAGATTGCAGTTTCAATATGACTTAATGGTCAATGGTTAATAGTTGATATCAGGACCTTTAAATCTCCTTTCTCTTGTAGAATTTTTGTTGTCTGTGAGTTTTTAACTTATTATATCGATTTTATAGTATGTTTTCTCCCATAACTCCATTACGGCGCCAGAGAATCGCGTCATTTTTTTCAAGATGGCGGCCAGATGTTTACTTTTCCGATTGGTGTATTTTTCATTGGATTCTAGCGATAGTATTGGGAGATATTGGCCAAAATACATGCTCTGCGTTTTAGTTTAAAATTCAGGTGGAACAGATGGTTTGTTTTAGAGTTATAATGAGGACGTCGGTGGAGATCAGAGCGGTTCGTTCTCACCTTCTTCCAGGGAAGGCCAGTGCAATAGACATTTCGACCAGCGTGGCCCTATTGTTCTCCTCCCGGGAGCGAATTTTAAAGACAACAATTCGGTGGCTTGATGCAAATTTACTGCGATACTGGCCTTTTGAGAAGATTTTTTCTTTGGCAGTTCAAGGGATTTTTCAAGTCGTATATATCGTATATATCAGGAAAAGTTCATATTCCCCCAAGTGGACGCCTATCATTGTACAACGAAGAGAAGTCAAAAGTACCTCGGTAGCGAACGAGAATAAAATTTACTTCCCCACCGTATGTTTTTTAAGCTTCTTGGGTTATTTGGGCGACATTATATGGTAAATCTAAAACTATCCCCATCGTGCAACCGTACCGAAGTCGTCAGTTGGAACCTGAAACTACTTGTTTGAAAGAAATAATTTTGACAAAAATCACTAAAGCTTTGTGTCGGCACGCGCGAGTAAATGAAACATAGCATCGACAGTGATCGACCAAAATGGTTGCTAGAACATTGCCTTGAATGTGTTATTTGGGATTCGAAATGCAGGTAGGTATATCACCTCCTTCGCTACACGAATTAAAGAAAAAAACATGGGGTTATAGGTTTACAAACTGTGAAACAAAATGGCGTCGGTTTGTAAACAAGGGACAACGGAGGGAACCGATCTAATCCAGATATGTTGTGAACCAACTCTGGCTTCAGCCGACTTTCTTCTACAAGATTTACTATCATACTTGCACTACTTCTAAAATCTTTTTAGTACGGTTATGTTTCTTTTCTATCATCAACTCCAGAACATTACAATGTATTCCCAGCGTATGAGCCGAAGTACTCGGCACGCCGGCCAAACAATCATGGCGTCTGTGCTGTTTCCGCGCCGTAAACCTCGTTTAGTAACATGTACAACAAGGATACATGTATTAGAATGTATCTGAATCGTACGTAGTAAGTTTTTGGTGGGTGTTCTTGAATAATCACTTGAGTCTCGAATTTTTTAGAGATATTCTAGCTGTTGTGTCACCCGGCCGATACCGGCGCGTTCCGTCCTGTATGAAGTATGCAGTAGCGCGATCAAGCTCCCGGGAACTTTAATCCCTGTGGAAGTTTTTAGTGTGTTGAATTACGAAATAAGACAAATTGTAGCACAGTTGTGAATTATTGTTGGTGGAAATTAAACATGGCTTGAATAAGTGTTGGGGCATTGTTAATTGTGTGAATTAAAGAACAATAGGGGCGGTGAAAGGCGCGCATATGAAAGGACAAAATCGCGGGAAAAAACTGCGACTCGAAGTGTCACCAAAACATGTCAAGTCCCCGCCCGCTTATGCGTGAACCGATCAGCTATTGTTGCCAATAGTGAAATGACTGATTAACACCGATTTCTCAATAATATTAATGACTTCCAAATGAGGATTTTTGATGGCCTTTTTGATCATCGTGGTTGTTGCCAGGAAAATCCTCCGAGTTTCTTTGTTACAATCCACTCAGACATTATCCGACGTAAAAGTTGGGATGAGGATCTAAATCACGCATCACGTATCATTTGTCTGAAGAAACCGCGGCTTTATTGAAGCCCATTTTAGCAAACGCTAGTTGAAACTAAAGATTTCTGATTATTATGGCACAGCTTACAAATAATTTCAATCTAACAGTGGGAATACAACTTAAATGTTTTCTGATATACATAGTAATCTTGAAAAGGAGACACCATGTTAAAAAGTGAACGGAATATGGTCTGTGTTAGTTTTTGCTCGAGCAAGCTTTGAAATCGATGTAATTTAAGTCATATGTACCCAGCTAACTTATATATGTATAGCGCGGGACTGTTTGACGTCCAGCTTTGGAACCGTGTTAAATCGAGTGAACTTGCCAAGTTTCGGGTGTTTTCGGATACTTCTTAAGTTTGCAAGATGGCCCAGTGCAAGGACTATGTTTGTTTACCAAACTACTGACACATTTAATACCAGACGCAGAAAATTATGCTACTCCTTTATTGATAGGCTAAACAACACCAACAACAGCATTATGCAATGTCTTCTGATGTCAGATTGTCAGTACAGAAATTCTTTTTTTATGTATATAAGATGCTATAGGTATAGTTTGTGTCTCTATGTTTGTACCGTTGTTTTCTATGGGTGAAATACTTGAAAAATAATGTAGAATTCCTTCAAAAATTATGCAAATGAGGTCCTTATTTGAATATTCTATTTTTAGTGATGTCCGCCCTCACTTAAAATGCCACAAGTATGAGGTTTCCTGTAGTTACTATGGAATCATAGGCTTTTGGCATTACTTATGCTTTCATTTGCATAACCAATATCTGCCAATGTTGGTCTTTTTCAAAATTACACATGTTACATGTTTGAATGATTCTAACATGGAATTTTGCAGATTTATATCATTTCCTCTTTGATCATCATAATTAATTGCTTATTTACATAACTATCATTTTAATATGTCATTCTTTAAGCTACCCACATACCCCCAAAAATAATCCGTCAATCGGTTCATGAGTAATCGTCCCTAAATATTTTTCAAGGAATGCGTCTACAGTTCCAGACCAAGCCGCTAAGGGACGAAATATAACGTCATGACACCAAAATTGTTAGATACCGTCCTATGAAAATTGTTTGCGTCTTGTGTTAATAGGTTGTTAAGTTACAGAGGATGGGTCTCAACACCCCCCCCCCCTCAGAATGACAAAATTCCAGTCTGAATAGAATTTAAACAGCTAAAGTCGAGATTTCGATGTACAGTTAGAGTCCGTTTTCACCATTTAAAAGTCTTGGTATTTACCATTGTTATGGCAACAAGATGCACGATTTACGTTACTCAATAATATTTTTTACACGATATATGCTTCAATAATAATGGGTGCAAGAAAGTATCGATACATTGACTATACGAACAGCACAACAACACAGTACACTGCCTGAACATATTCTAAACCCGCACACTTCGGGTATACCTTACAAATAAACAAAACAAGACAGACATTTGTTTGGGAGCAAATATAGCATATTTCAGCCCATACTCTTATTCTAAAATAGACTGTTTCATATCTAATCCCATATAGTGCTTCTCAGTATCAAGTGATTCCATACCGCCTTGTCGTGTTTAGTACCCAGAAAGTGCTTGTTAGTAACAATTTAGTATACAGTATTTATCGGTAAGATATCCTAGAATCCCCGAAATAATGCTTTTCAGTAAGTTTTCGCAAAGCTCTCCTCCTAAACCCCGACACAGATTTTTTTTCGTTTGCCCGCCCTACGGCGGGCAAACGAAATTGTATTGGGTTTCCTACATGCTCCTAGGTAGGTAGGTACGTACGTTCGTTGGTCCTAATTACGTCATCTTTCTGTTGTCCGAGTCGACTCATTGTGTCTGCGCTGTCTGCGCTTGGGGTCCCGTATGTACATGAAGCGCTAAAAATTGGGCTACTATAAGATAAAATGTCACCACAGCTCTATGTTTGACAAAATTAAACATTTCAAATATAATTTTACGTCAAAATGTCGCCCACGTGAGCCATAAACTGACAAAAGCCACACATTGCTCATCGTTGCATATATTATGTTAATAAGCCAGCAAGATCTGGCAGTGGCAGTACGGCCTATCCCCGCTAGGGTGCGCATATGCGCATGCAGAGCAAAGCAAGGTCACAGAGGTTTGTGTGCGTTTGTATTTTTTATCGTGAAAATACTTACGTCTTGAAACGATTTTCAACGACTTGGAGCGTATGATTGTGTTTTAAAGTACTTCATAGAACAACAAAGCTCTGTAATGCTTTCTAGAGATTATGTATGGGAATAATAATAATATTTCGGTGCCTTTGTTTCGGCATGCCGCGAAATGGGGAGGGGGGCGTGTGACCTTATAAAATACAGTTCTGTCTGCTGCAGCTTGAACGCGCACTTTTGTGAGAAAAGAATTTGGGAAACGATCAACCAGTCTTAACTTCAAACAGTTGTCGGCTTACTCTTAGAGGTCAGGAACGCTGTAGGGGTCATTTGTTGTGTAGTTTGAATATATGTTGCAAGCCAAGCCCTTACAAATACGCTTCCATGCATGGCTGCTTTGATACAGTGTTATTAAAATTATACTACTAGTATGTCAAAGCAGCTATGCATGGAAGCGTTTTTCAGTTATCATGTTCAGTTGCACACAAACACAAACCAGTTAATGAAGGCAGCATGATGTAATTAAGCAAAACTGAATTTAATGTATTAAAAAAATTGAATTACTGTATTTTTTTTTCTTTCAGTGACTACCGTTGTTTGCTAACTCGTGACTACTGTACATGTTCTTGCACTGCACTACATGTTTCAAAGATACACTAACCTCCCTTACAGACACCTCAGATCCTGTTACTAGTGTTAGCGTGACAAATGAACAACTAGTTGAAGAAATCCTCTTGAAAGAAGGAAACTACCACTTTTTCTGCAATATCCAAAACATCTGCACACAAATCATATGCGCATAAATATTCTACAATTATAAAAAGAGAAACATAAAAACCTTGCTATTGTCGTAAAAAGCCTGCTATACCTTATATAGTGATTTTGTTTTCAATCCATATGACGGTATAGTTACCCTCATCATGTTTACTTTACAAGCTAAAACATAAGGTCATTTTCATGTACACAAATGTACCTTATATAGTCATTTTGTTTTCAGTTGACAGACGGTATAGTTACCCTTATCATGTTTACTTTACAAGCTAAAACATGAGGTCATTTTCATGTACACAAATGTACCTTATATAGTCATTTTGTTTTGAGTTGATAGACGGTATAGATACCCTTATCATGTTTACTTTACAAGCTAAAACATAAGGTCATTTCCATGTACCTTATCAAGGACATTATATAGCTACCTATATAATGTCCTTGACCTTATATAGTCATTTTGTTTCCAGTTCATATGACGGTATACTAGTAGTTCACTCATCGTGTTTATATTTACAAGCTAAAAACACAAGGTCATTTACATGTACCTTATCAAGGACATTATATAGCTACCTATGTAATGTCCTTGACCTTATATAGTCATTTTGTTTCTAGTTCATATAATGGTATACTAGTAGTTACCCTCATCATGTTTATATTTACAAGCTAAAAACACAAGGTCATTTCCATGTACCTTATCAAGGACATTATATAGCTACCTATATAATGTCCTTGACCTTACAGTCATTTTGTTTCCGATTCATATGACGGTATACTAGTAGTTCACTCATCATATTTATATTTACAAGCTAAAAACACAAGGTCATTTCCATGTACCTTATCAAGAACATTATATAGCTACCTATATAATGTCGTTGACCTTATGTAACGTGAGTCATTTTGTTTCCAGTTCATATGAGGTATGGTTACCCTCATGTTTACTTTACAAGCTAAAACACAAGGTCATTTCCATGTACCTTATATACTAGTAGTCATTTTGTTTCCAGTTCATATGAGGTATGGTTACCCTCATGTTTACTTTACAATCTAAAACACAAGGTCATTTCCATGTACCTTATATACTAGTAGTCATTTTGTTTCCAGTTCATATCAGGTATGGTTACCCTCATGTTTACTTACAAGCTAAAACATAAGGTCATTTCCATGTACCTTATATACTAGTACATTGTAGTCATTTTGTTTCCAGTTCATATGAGGTATGGTTACCCTCACGTTTACTTTACGAGCTAAAAGATAAGGTCATTTCCATGTACATGTACCTTATATACTAGTAGTCATTTTGTTTCCAGTTCATATGACGGTATACTAGTAGTTACCCTCATCATGTTTATATTTACAAGCTAACGACAAAAGACAAGAATAAAGAAAATTGTTGTACAACCCAAATGTGTGAGTCTACTTCCAATACGTCTTGCTAAAGTATGATACACTAGAATTACCTTTTAACTGTATCACTGCGATGTACATTTTCAATTGCTTATAATACCTAGAAATTTAGCGTCAGCAACTCACAAACCAAGGAAAACACACATTACTCCTTTGTGTATATATCATACTAATCAGCCAAAATCACAGTTGCTTGCAGTAACGCCCTTCCTCGCTAGGGAACATTATATTAATCTTTACAGTGTCCAGCACAAGTTGCTCTTCTCAAAAAACAGAAGAGTCGTACACAAAACAAACTTTCCTACAGACTACACCGGCAAACGACAGCTTTTTCAAAAGCACTTGTTTTTAGTACGTCAGTGTTCTAGAAGCCCCCACATAGTTCTTTCGACGATCACCTGGTCATTTGTACAGATTTTCGTATTTTTGACAGAATCCACAGCACCCTGTATCTGCTTAAAAGCCAAGATTCCGTGTATCTGCTTAAATATTACTTACTCATGCCACCCTATATCTGCTTGGAGACTGCAAATGTGACCAGGTCATTCGAAACCAAATTTTGATTTGATTTGGGGATGGGGATGCTAAAAACAAAAAGAATGTTTTTCATCAATATTAATCGCGTATGAGGTGATTAATAATTAAAATACAATGGTTGGATAACTATCTTAGAGAACATATGTTAGAGAATAGTTAACCTTTATTGTTACATCATACATATACTCTGTACGTAAGATAACGTTACCCACACATGTATTTAGCTTTGTTAGATCTTTAGTTAAGTTGTAGAAGACCATACAAAAGTCTCTGTACTTTTCTGTTGTGTCAAAAAAGAATCTGACACATAAAGATCCTTTACAATGTTAAAAATTGATATTTGCATAATGCAAACTGTCGATTTTCTTGATAAAAATGTTAACGCCCCACATTCCAAAGCTTAATACTTAAATACAGTTTATACTGTCAATATGTCATAGCTAGTGCAGTTGCCCGATAAGTTAGCCGAATTACAGCCCAACAACCAACCAAGGCCGTGTTCATGTGAAGTCAGTGAAGGCGCTTTACATGTGGTTTACCCCGGAGCCGGGTTCACATATGGCTCAATCTGAACGCTCCAAATCACATTGAAAGCGCCTCGATCCCAAACCACTTCTAGAGGTGGTTTCGAATCGGTTTTCCCTCATCGCGATTTGCTCCTGAACGCAATGTGATTTCAATGTGACTTCACCCGGTCATGGATTACGGGGTGATATTTCTTAATTTATATGCAATACCAAATTTTACGTTCAGCAACTTAAAGAGAAGTAATGGTCAAATAATGTGTCCGTTATAGGACGAGCTTCACCGCCTCTGTCGGGAACACGTCGGCATCCGGCCAAGATACGCTGACATTGATAACACGCTACCTTGCGTGTTTTCATCAAACAACAATAAATGCAGTTTCGGAGAATCGTGATCGGACACGGTTTGCAAGGAATGTATGGCACGTGCACCAGATGTGAGGAATGCGAGTTACCCGAATCGCGGTTTGGGTGACTTCACATAGGCCGTGTCTATACGGAACCACCCAAGGCGCGATTCGGGTAACTCACATTCCTCACATCTGGTCCATGTGCCACACACACCTGTGAAACCGTGTCCGAACACAATACGCTTGAGCTACATTTATTGCTGTTTGATGATAACACGCAAGGCGGCGTGTTATTAATGTCAGAGGTCAACGACCTGCTTGCTGATGCCCACCTCCCAGCGTATCTCGGCCGAATGCCGACGTGGTCCCGCCAGAGGCGGTGAAGCTCGCCCTAGAACGGACACATTATTTGACCATTACTGCTCTTTAAGTTGCTGCCACGTAAAAGTTGGTATTGCATATAAAAAAAGAAATATCACTCCGTAATCCATGACCAGGCGAAGTCACATTGAAATCACATTGCGTTCAGACGCAAATCGCGATGCGGGGAAAGCGATTCGAAACCACCTCTAGAAGTGGCTTGGGATCGAGGCGCTTTCAATGTGATTTCGGAGCGTTCAGATGGAGCCACTTGAAACCGGCTTCGGGGTAAACCACATGTAAACCGCCTTGGGTGGTTCCGTATAGATACGCCCATAAACGAGGCTCAAGTCTTAAACAATACAAATTTAAATGGGGGTACTACTCCATACCTCCATACTAGCTTTAAGGTAATTTGGCTTAGGAATAAAGAAAGGAGGAGGAGAAAAAAAATATTTCAAAACAAATTAACGGATTAAGCCATTCTAACACCACAGTCTTTGTAACGACTTATTCTAAACGTATTAAATGCAAACGTTGACTAATGTATTCTTTAACAACAGTGCTGAATTACCAAAATGTAACAGGTTCCAGGAATAGAATCGATTCTTAGTTAACAGATATTTTTTACAATTATGATTTAAAGAAAGGTTGGAAATTTTTTGCTAACATTGGTTTTCGTGTGAGGCAACCGATATGGTTTTTGAACAATTCATACTTTGCCTTAAGCACGTTATGTTCTACACTTATATTATGTCTACGACTTTTGTAGTCTTCAAAAGATGAATCACCACCACGTTCATGGGCGTAGACAACGTTTCTGCACACTGCTATGCGAAGCCTTCCGAAAGCGCTATAGAAGAATTCTGAAAAGATAAAAGAGACAAAAAAATTAGATAATAAAAAAATGCAACTTTGGTACACTTTAACGCTATATACACTGAAGGAGGAGTTTTGGGTAGGAGCAAAACCATGTTTCTCGTTCGAAATTTTTCGATAGCATCAATGCGTGCCAATTTGTTCTCGTGTCCTTGGCCGGACACGTTCTAACAAATGGTTAGAAGTGCATCACTTTTGTGCGCAGTTACAGACCGAGTGCTCTGAAACGTTGTACGGCCAATCTATTGACATTACTTTAACAGTCAGTACGTCTTTCAATGCAAGTTGACAGTGTATACAGAATTAAGACTTAACTGGCACCTAGTAAAAATGTCCACACACAAAAATAGTTGACTACCATCTTCGCCAAAGTGGATAACAAGTCTCAGCCTTTCAGAAGCAGGCTGTCATAATCCAGAGACTGAGTCTGTGATATTGAGGTAATACTGAGGACATAAAATACACCAACAGACTTCAGAAGACAACTAAATCTCATAGGTGAATGTGGGAGGCAATAGATAATTTTGGCCTGCCTGGAAAAGTTGTAGTTTCTGCTGGTACCTTCAAAGTGGTTGTCATCATCAAGTGGTGGAACAAAAAGAGATGGGTGTGCAGGAAGTAAGAGAAAGGGAATAGGACAAGAGTGTTGTTGTAGGAGCCTCACAGGCTAAGCAGGAAACGTAAGCAACCTAAGAAAGAATTGAGCAAAAGGAACATTCCATTTAGTGTCCTGTGGCAGATGGAACCTCTCCGCATCTCGTTCCTGTGGCGGTCCACATATGATTTGCTACCAAAAAGAGCACGATGAGCTGTCAAACTGTTGCGAACCATGCGAACAAATACCTTGCGATATATTCATGTTCAGCTGCACTCTCTAGTGGACAATTGACATGGAGGCACAAAAACGTGCTGACAGTCATAGTGGCCGCTATCGGATTTATTAATCTATTAGAAAATAATAACCCGTTTTCGCCCTCAATGCTGCGATTAACTCCTGTCATTCTTTAGTTTACAGGTATTTCTGGAATTAAGTTTTACCTGTTTTTATGTATTGTCTTAGTCTCTCCTGCCATTTGGCTAAATCGATTTAGACCGTAATTGCATTGTATAAGGGGTGTCTTTGGCAACTACCTACATATAATACGCTAGTTATAAGGACTAAAAGCATTTTACAAAGGCACATTCAAAACTTGTACACTAAAATTATAAATTAGTTTTAGTATAGCAATACCGACAAGACGTCTTGAAGTAAAGATTAAAAAGATGCATCAAGGTCCTTTAATGTACATTAGAAAAGGGTGCCCCTTATAAGTTTAATTTGTTTGTTTCAATGTTCTACTACTGAAGAAAATTTTAGCCTCGAGGAATAGAGAAAGGGTTGAATAACAAATGCATATGAAAGAGTGCACTCTTTAGATATTTTAAGATACCTCTGTGCCCAACAATTGACAACAGTGGATGTGGATCAAACCCAACAGCCCTAACATCAATGGTGGAAGCTATGAAGAAGTTAGTCACCATATCCACGATGAAGCACCCTGCAAAAAAGAAACAAAAATAAGATTTGTACCTTGCCGTTTCTTAAGTTGATTTAAACTTATCACTTAAAGGCCAATTGCTGTACAGGTTAAAAATGCAAAATCTTTTATTACTTAGATATAATGAAACTCGGCACACAACAATTTGGAATTGTAGCATTTATTTTCCTTTTTAAACAACACAATCTAACAACGCCCCCAAAATGAACAAACATCTATTACCGGCAAAATAATGATGTAATTTTTAACATACTTTTGATAAACACAGCATGAGACCCCACCTGCTAAAAATAGCACCGTCTGATACAAGTGAAAAACAGTAGCACAAAATTTTCTGAAATTTAAACAATTTTACAACACAGACACTACATCAATGTGTTTACGAATTCGCATTTGACCTTTTTTCCGAGACAATAGAGTAACTGTTTGGAAGAAAAGGGTATCCTATGAAATAGTGTGTAAAAGTAAAGGAAACACACCAGGAAATCCTGGAACTTCAGAGTGATAACCAAACTTCCTCTCAATGCAAGTGTGATCGCCGTATCCCTTAAAGTTGAAAATCGATCCCATCGTCTTGGTTTGATTTCCTTGTAATGAACCGACCTAAACGGATGTGAATAAAAATCAAGAGAAAACAAGGAGAAACATTTCACTTTCTGATTATTATACCAACAAGGTAAAATCTAATTACATATGAAAGAATTTTTAAAAATATAAAAAATAACCTACCAAATGAAAATTTGTCTCATCCAACAGGGATACCAAATAATCCAAGTCACTTTTTTGCTTCAACAAGTAGAGGTCATCGTCAGTGTACAAAAAATACTCGGTTGATACTTGAGACAATCCGAGGTTTCGTCCAGCAAAGTAGCCCTGAAAGAATATAAGTTAAAATATTACATAAGGTAAAAATGGACAGGATCACGTGACAATAAGCTCATCACGTTTTCAGAAATCACAAAAGCATGTCCAAAACAAAATTAAAGAATATTGATAAATTAAAATGACGTCCTCCCGTTCCTTAAAAGGGCCGCTTATGGCTCGGAATTGGTATCATTTATCAGTTTTTTTTGTAAACTCCTACCAACGCATGGAATATCATAATTTCTGTCCTCAACTTATCAAGCAACTTTTATTGGAAATATATTTTTTTCCGTATAAGGCAGTTACTTAACAGTGTACTGGGGCACCCATATAGACAGATTCCATGGGAAGAATAAGTTTTTAAAGAAGTTTTTGTATCTATTGAACAGTTCGACCCTAAACCAGTGCGACGTTAAGATCTATCAAAACGATTGATACTACTACGCAGTTTTAATATGATTTGTATTATTGTGGTATTCTATGTTAGATTTGCAAATAGCAATTAAAAATCCCTGTATATCAATAAAAACAAGTTGTCACTAAACCATTGTAAGGGTCCATATCAAAATAACATAGTGTAGTTCTTGTATGATTAAAAACAAGTATACGTCCGTTTTTACCCCAGAAAACAAACATATTTAAAACTTTTATAACTTAACATCTTTAAAAACCTTAAACTGGAAAGCAGAAATAATTGCAAGTGTACCGTAAAATTTGGCATCTTGAATTGGTCGACATCGTCACCTTTAATCACCTTGTAGAATTCGTTTGGTGTGTCATCGGCAACTATGATTCTGGTTCCAGGGTAAAACTCATGGATGGAACGTATTAATCGTCGTAGATTAGTGTAACGAAGGAAAGTCTTGACCACCACGGTGACGCGGTCTCTAAACCTTCCTGTTTTCATGTCATGTAAAAAAGAAGTATAAACGTCATTGTTACAGCAAAATTTGCTTTTTAGGCGAAAGCATCAATCCTATTTAGACCATTATTTTAGGGGTTTGCTGAAATATGACATAGAGTGAGGAATTGCAGTCAAAAATCCTTACCAACATCTGCTTTACCTCATCGTTTTTTTTTCAATTCAAATTGCATATATTTGATGTGATATTGAGAGTCCTATCATATGGCAATATTTCACATTTCGTCATTAAATATACAAATGACCTATTCATTGACGCTGTATATGTATAATGGTGTTAGTCTTGTTATGTAATACACAGAAATTACAGAATATCCTCCTGAGCTGCTAGGAGGTACAGACGCGCGTTCGTCAATTACTCCTTAGGATCACATTTGACCCTGACATTTGTGTACCTAAAACCTATCAAGGCACCAATTAGCATCAATCCATAGAGGTATTATAAAGTTATACTGACTACAAATTTGCGGAAACACACCCAATAAAACAGTCAACCCGAACATTCTTTCTATTTCTGGTAAAGGTACAAATGGCGATATCGCTTCTCTCTCAGCGATATACTCGTGCTTCTTCCAAACTGTCAATTGGAGGATTATTGATTAACATGTGGAACATTTAACACGGTAACTAACATAATCCCCCATTATCAAGAGCAAACGTCGTGAGTCAAAGTGAAAAATGGCCACTACGACATGTTTAACAATTAATCTTATCCCTAACAAAATGAACCTTGATGGAAGAAATTAAGATTGATCGAGAGTATGTCTCACATCTCCTCTTTGTAAATAATATCTAATACTTAAGCAGATTTTTGGTGGGTGAAAAGACTGTATGGTATTGGTCATGAAGAATCGCCGTCCCAACAGTCCTACAAATATCAAAATCCCAGTCTAGATAGAGTTAATTACAACGCCAGAAAAATGATTAAAATGCATCAATATGCACCTTGAACGGACCAGGGCGATAAACAACAACCTGAAAAAAAAATTTAAAAAATTAAGAAAAGTATCACCTCCCTTCTTCAAAAACTTCCAGTGTACATGTATTTCAAAGAAAAACACACATACAATTAGGGCAGTGAGCTTACCGTCACATCAGTACGGGCAGAAATGTATTGACTCCGTAACATGATACTTGTAACAATTTACACACTGCGGTTCTCATAGCTTGTACATTCTTATGCAAGAGCCTAATACAAGGGTAATTCACTCAATTAACAAGTCTTGCTGTGAGTCGGCGTCCTGTTTCACCCTAGTTACCAATTGTGTTAGCCACAGTCCTTGTTTTAGCCTCCTTTGGTCTTTATTGACACCATACTCACGGAGGTGGACGAGGTAGAGCTACTGGGTATCAATATACATAAGAACCTTAACTGGAACCACATTGTAAAGAAAATGGCTACAGATTCGGGTAAGAGACTAGGCCTACTCAGAAAGGTTTTTTCTTACATGAAACCAACTTGAAGAGCAACCGTATACAAAAGCATGGAAAGATCACCCATGGAGTATGCCCCAACTATATGGATGTCTGCAAGCGAAAACGAGCTAGCTAGGCTTGACTGTTAACAAAGGACAGCCCTGAAAATCATTAACTTTTCCTCAGCCCTGAAAATCATTAACTATTCCTTAGCTGGTCTTTCCAAGGCGCGTATCCAACATTTGGACCACCGCCGGGAAGTTGGTGCATTGACTCTCTTCCACCTATGTACAACAGAGAGGCACCAGCCCTGCTAAACGACCTTGTTTCTAAACACAATGATGTGCGGCGGGTGACACGCCAGTCAAAATCCCAGCAAAAAAACACTCTGGTGTTCCCTGTCTTCCACACCAACGATCATATGAGAACCTTTGTACCAACAACTTTTAAACTTTGAAACAGTCTTCCGAGGGAGATCGCTAAGATCAAGGACAGACAAAGATTCAAACGTGAAGTTAATTCTTTCCTCAGCACAAAACTTTGACGGCGCTCTGTCTAGGCAGTTTGGCTGCTAATGCTGAGTAAGAGCTGATATAGATTTAAAAAAAACAACAGAATCCTGGATACATATTTTTTCTATCCAAAAGTTTTCCTTATCCAAAATGGCACAATCTAGATACGTGACTGCTGTATCCAGAAGTCGTTGCACTTAAAGCTCTATCCAGAAGTCGTCACAGGCCGAAGGAGCATAATTATACCCTTGATACGTAATCTGTTTAGACGTTTTTTTCGAGGCAAAGTGGACGATGCGACGTTTGCAACCGCTGCACATAGAATTCTGCCATTAATGTATTAAAAATGCACTAAAACTACCCGTGTTCACCCTGAAATAGTTAACTTTGTTGATTTCAGTGTGCGTGCGATCACAACTCGGGAGTGTGCTGATGGTTGAATAAAAATTTTCACCCGATTAGCAACTTCCAATTCGATCACAGATGTGATATGTGAACACCAAAATATTAAAGGATTTGAAGCCAACATCTGTATTAGCACAAGGGCCCCATTGAGCTTACGCTAAGCAAGATGGTTTGTCTTTCTGTTATTGATACCGAGGTTTTAATGGTTTCAGACTTAACATATACGTGGCATACACCCTGAAGACTGGCCTCACGTGTGTGGTCCAACCAATTATGAAAGCTTGGGCGTGAATATTTACTGTTTCTATTTCTGTCAATCAGTATGAATGGCTGCACCTGGTACCAATCAGCGCACATGACTGCACAGAAAGAAGTGCATTTTAGATATCCAGGATTGTCCCCTTCGCCGACAAGGCTGGATAAAGCATGTTCTGGAGACACCAGGGATCCTCCACAGGAGCAACACCACATTGGCATGGTGATTTCGGAATTAGCTAGATACACTTTTAACAGTACATTATTAAAAACTTTAAATTAAAGGCCATTCCAATATAAGGTTGGATTTTGAATTAGTTCATAACCTTGCAAACCAAACAGCATTTTTAACCATAGCATGTTAAGCGTAAATGAGTTACAACATTGTAATTATAGTGTATTTTACACAACTGCAACTTACCAGATCCTGCTTCATACAGCCATGGTAGCCTTTGTTGTTGTATGTGAATAGGTATTTTCACGCTTGATCCCATGTAAGTTAGATCAACTGAAAGTTGCAATAAAAATCAATTAGTAAAAACACTGTAATCCTTTCAAGGCCTTGTTGGTTTAATTATACGGATGCCTTTCGCGCGCCTAAATATTCGGCCGTTTCTCAAACGAGAAAGGCTTTGAAAAGAGCTGGCCTGGCCGTCAAAAAAAACTAGGTGAAGGCATCGCGAGATGAAAGAGCTTTAAAAAGCTGGCATTTCGGCATTGTCAAAAAGAAAAAGTAATGCCGACACCGTGATTCGAACTTGCGAATAAAGCTTACCAAGACATGCAAGACAAAAATACAAAAGTGCAAAAATACAAAAGAGAACCAATTTAACTATAAACTGATTAACAGTCCTGAGAATGAAGAACAATTAATCTTTGAATGTTAAAAGCAAAACAACGAATGTTAGAAAAGAAAATTAAAAAGAAGTGCCGACACTGGGAATCGATTCTACGATGTCCGGAGTTAGAGGACCTGCCGACATAAACGCAACGCAACCAACTGAGCAATTGATGTTTACGTTGCTTAACCTGGGTTTCTGATATGCCTTAAATTGTAGCTGTGTCAATAACCGACCGTGAACTGGTTCTCCACGCAAACTGTCAACCTGCATTACCTGATCTACATAATTTATGCAGTGAAAAGAGAATTGTATTTTTCTTTCCTTTGTTAAGCAGAATTTTGACACCGAATTTTGATGTGGTGGCATAGACCCCTGGCTTAGCCCGGCCTGGCTTTGCCTAGCTTGGCCTGGTGATGCTATGACCTGTGATGGCATGGCGTATAAAGGGCTTCTGCAATGGTTTACTTGACTGTGTGCCTACCACCGTTGCAAACTGCATGCCTACCACCTTACCACCGTTACAACGTTCCAACTGAAGTGGGAACTGAGCCTCAACCACACTGTAAATCTTACAAAACAGTCGTAAAATGAGGAAATATATACCATAAGCTGCAAAAAAACTTAACAATGTCGTGGAATGCCAAAATTAAACGAAAAAGACAAAACTGGAAAGAACTTGATTTTAAGATTAGATTATTCGCCGTTGCATGCCTTGTGCCATTTGTTCGAATGAAAGCCGCCTTTTTGCCAAACCCTTTTTTTGTTATTCGCACGCTCGCAACAGTTTTAACCCATAGCATGTAATTTATGTAATCAAATAAACAAGGCCTACTATAACTATATATATATTTATAGGTCTGGAATTTATAGGTCTGGAATATGTACTGCAATATTTTGTGTCAAGTTTCTGTTTTTATCCCGGAAATAACATGTAAAGTTAGAATTAAATAGTTTAACCCTACCTAGACCGGGGGGGGGGGCGTAAAAAGTGCCCGCGGCAACTTTCATGTCACCTAGCGTCTGAACGGCTAGCCGTAGAACGGCCAAACTTGGTGACTTTTCCAAGAATATTGTTGGCAACAATTCTCTATCATTGGAATAAGATAATAATTTTTGTGTTGCCATGACAATGGGTTTCTGACAGGCATTTTTTGCTAAATTTAGTACTTTTTGTTTCAACAATAGAATTTTATGGGTTTTATGCCAAGTTACTCATGGTTTCTAATATTAATAACATCCCATATAATTCTATGTAAATTTTATCGTTAGATATGCATAATTTATGCTAATTTGATGACGTCATTTGCCAAATTCAAGATGGCGGACCATATCATTAGAACAGGTATATACAGGTTATTTTTATTAAAATTTCATCAATACTTCCATTTCTTTTTCCAACAAAAGGTTTAAATGAAGGTCTTTAGTATGTTTACAATGTATTTTAGGCTTTATCATGAAAAAAAACTGTTTTTGAAAATTCAAGATTGATGATCCAAGATGGCGGATATCTTAAATATGCATGACGTCATTTTATGACGTCACCGGTGTTGCTATGGGCAACATAAGACTTAGTACACCATAATATACTGTCATAAAAACTTTTGGTACAGTTATGTTGAATACCATTTAGTTTTCAGGGAAAAACCTATTTAGACGGTTTTGGCCAATAAAATCACATTAATGACGTCTTATTACGTCATAACGACATAAAAATTTTAGATATGATAAATTTTCACTAGTACACCATTCTCTAAAAATTTGGTGGTAATACGACATACCGTTCGCGAGTTCTTAGGGGGGGTCAAAAGAGCCCCCCCCCCGTCCCCCCATGTCAAAAAAAGCCCGGTCTAGGTAGGGTTAAATCCCCTACCCAATGCACCATGGCATTGTTATACATATTACTCAATACTTTTGGCATTTAATGTCGATTTTAACTCTATTCAGACTAGGGGAGGGGCTTTTGAGGCCCGCGCTCACTTTCATCTCAGATAGCGCCAAAACGACTCGTACTAGAACCGGCAAATTTGGTGACTTTTCCTAAAAAAACATCTGGCAACAATTTCATATTAATTCGATAAGTTCGTGATTTTTGTGTTGCCATGGCAACGTTAACGGGTTTCTGACTAGCAGTTTTTCGACAAATCAGTATTATTGGTTAAAACATTGAAATTTTATAGGTTTAATATTTTATATAATAATATTTAATTTCTCTTATTAAATATTCATAATTTATGCTTATTCGACGATTTGTCGACGTAATCGGTCAAAATTCAAGACGGCGGACCACATAATTAACTTTGGTGTAACCATGTTTTTTTCACAAATTTTTCGTATCTACTCGTGTTTTTTCACATAAAACGTTCATATGAACATCTTTAATCCATTTGCGTTGCGTTTTGAGGCTGTTTCTTTAAAAATTCAAGATTTCCTATCCAAGGTTGCCGACAGCTTAATTATGCATTTTATGACGTCATTTTGACCTCAGTGTTGTTGTCAGGGGCAAGTTGGGCAACATAAGCACACATTAATATTCTATTATTGTTACTTTTTGTTCAAGTTTTGTTGTATTCCGTTGAGTTTTACGGAAAAAAACAATTTTTTACGGTTTTACCCCATAAAAGCATACAATTGACGTCATATGACGTCATAATTACACAAAAATTGTTGCTATGAATTAAGTTCATTACTTCACCATTCTCTAAAAATTTGGTGGCCTTACCAGAAGTGGTTGTCGAGTTACAGGGGGCGGGCCTCGAAAGACCCCCCCCCCCGTCTAAGCAAGCCCCAAAAAGCCAGGTCTGAATACTGTTAAAGCATGTTCTTTTATTTAATTTTTGTTGGATATTACATCAGCGTCAAAATCGTAATAAAAACAAATAAAGGCATTCTGACGTGTGTAAAAGGTTTGCAACAGCAAAATCAACCTTACCTAATTCAAGTGAATTGGCATCATAAACTGTGTTTTGATAGATGATATGTCGAAGTTGAAGATTCAGCAAAGACGGCAGTGATGTCCGGATTGTCATATTTCTAGTATTCCAGCCATCCACAGTAACATGTTCCACACTACCCAGCAATCGAAAAACCCCCCTTTCCCCTCGAAGTTGGACCTGAAAAATTACATTTGCTCATTATAGTCGATTACCATATAGACGGGTGACGTTGACCAATCAAAAGGCTCCATTCCACATTCCTTATGACGCCGTAATGTCACAAATAGAGTCGAAATCGGGTATTTATTCATCCAAATCCATACATTAAACAACCCAATAATCACCCGCATATTACCTCAGGTGACCCAATAGAACACGGCTCTAGTTAAAAAATCCAAAAATAACTTGAGTTGTGTTCCAATGACCTCGGGTGACTCCCATAAGAACACCTGTGACCCAGATAGAAGACATAGAACGTGAACAGTACCCAGTGCCCTCAGGTGACTCCAGATGGAACTTTGTTCTATTCAGCATGTGGAACGGGTAAATTGTACATTGTATCACTTACTGCATCCGTTTGAATAGGCTATCGTGTAAGCTATATTATAATAGCGTTAATGGTCCGCCACCTCATAAAGCCACCTCGTTCGCTCTGCTCACTTGGTGGCTTTATTCGGTGGTTATAGCAACTGACAAGGCTTTATCACGCCATATTCACCTTGGGGCGGGTCATTAACTTATTTAATTAACTAACCTTAATTAATTACTAAAGTTCACACCCTAACGACATATATACATATATAAA